TGGTGGTGCCAGACCCTTCCTGGTACCAGGTGGTACCAGGAGCTCCAACCTCTCATTGTAACATGGAGCCTGGGGAAGAGCTGTCCCAGGGAAAGGATGCTTCTCCATGCTCATATGGGGACAGGGGTTTTTTAATTCCATGTTCAGGGAGCACAGGCAGCTCTGTGGGTCATCTCAGGTTCCTCTCTTCCCTGTCTCACTGGCAGTTTCCTCCTGGCTTCTGGGTACCTTCCTCTCTGGTTGGAATAATCTCTTTTAAAGATCTATTGCTATTCAATCTGTGATGCACTGTGTCTTGCAAATGCCTTCAGGACACAAAGGAACTGGTGATTTTTCTTCAGCTAATAACTGTAATTTGAACTTTTAAAGAAAGTCAAGTGAGGCCACTTTCACAAAGAGCAAAATTATCCCTTCACCCTTCCCTGCTTCCTTGCTGTGTTTGCAGCCTGAGACCTCAGGAAAAAGCCTCTCACTGCCCCAAAATTATCCAACAAATGAGAACATATATTGCAAATGAGGAGCTTGGCCAGGGCCAAACATTCACAAGCCTCTCATTTCTGAGTATAGTTTATTTGTGAACTGTCCCTACTAAAATTTTAATAAGTGCATCCTTCAAACTCTGCTCCACGTAGCTCCTGGAAGAGCAACATGAATAGTAAAAAAAAAAAAAAAAAAAAAATTCTGCAGCAACATGCATTGGACTGATTTGATAAATCAATGAACCAAACCACTGGGGATTTATCCATCTCTGCAGAGAATACCAGAATGGGAAAGGATGCTCTGTGCAGGTTTGAGCGAGGCCAAGTGTGCGTGGGGCACAGTGTATTTTACAAAGCCTGTGAAAACAAGCGTTGTCATCCCAGGGGATTCCCCACCTGTGTCACCAGCAGTACTGCTCTGGGCTGGCTGTGGGAGCCTGGAAGTGCCATAGGAGAGTAGGCCCAAAGTGTCCCTTCCCCTCCCCTGAGCCCAGCATCCATGGATGGCATCACCTGCACACCCCATGGCCCTGCAGGACCTGGGCATCAGCCACAGCATCAGGTCAGGGCTCACAGCATCAGGTCAGGGCACACAGCATCAGGTCAGGGCTCACAGCATCAGGTCAGGGCTCACAGCATCAGGTCAGGGCTCACAGCATCAGGTCAGGGCACACAGCATCAGGTCAGGGCTCACAGCATCAGGTCAGGGCTCACAGCATCAGGTCAGGGCTCACAGCATCAGGTCAGGATTCACAGCATCAGGTCAGGGCTCACAGCATCAGGTCAGGGCTCACAGCATCAGGTCAGGGCTCACAGCATCAGGTCAGGGCTCACAGCATCAGGTCAGAGTTCACAACTCTTGCTGCCACCAATAAACTCTGCTACCTGCGCCAGTGTGCTCAATCATCCAGGAAATCTGCCTGGATAAGCAGAAAGCAGGTGGAAGTGTTGGCTTTCAGGGCAGCACAAAGAAATGGAAGCACTGGGAGTTCCAGTCTTCCTGGAGTCTTGATGTCTGTAAGAGCAAACTGTGGTTTGGGCAGCCAAAGCTGAGCCTTTGCCAGAACCAGCAAGGCTTGGAGGTGTGAAAAATGACACATCTTTTTGGGCACTGTCTGTGACACATCCCACCTCAATGTCCCATCCCAGTGCTCCTCCCGAGGACAGCATCAGGGGAGGATGTGCCTGGAGTCAGGACAGAGATTGGCAGCTCCCAGAACTGTAGTCTGGGTGGATGAATGCTGGAGGGGCATCCTGGGGGGATAATAGCCACAACAATGCTGAGGGGAGATAAAAGCTCTTCATGTGATATTATGAAGGAATTAAAACTCTGGCAGAACAATTAGATTGCAATTATGGGTTATTTCATATTCTGTGGCATTAAATGTCAACAGCATAACTCTGTAACAACAAGCACTTGGTACAGCACTTGGTGCATGCTCTGCACACCTGATGAAGTAGTTTTTTGTTTTTATTAATGTTCGGTAATATTTCACTTTCCAAAATTTGGTGCATGGAAGTGTCTCTTCTCCATTGCAATTACAGTGCAAATAATAGAGATAGGATAAACAAAATAAAAATGGAGTTTGCTTAAACATCAGAAAATACTTCTGAAGAAAGGTTTATGTTTGCTTGCCTGTCTGCTGTGGTAGGTGCAGATTGGTGGCTATGAATGAGATCTTTCCTAGAGACTGCCTGAGCTGGATTATTTACACTTGCACCTCAGTATATTAAGGCCATTCATTTTTGCCTTACAGCCAGCCATAAAAAGAATTTAGCTTATATTTTACCTGATGTACCTGAGGCTGAGGAAATGGAGTCAGTTCACCTCCATCCCTTCACTAAAATACACCACAAAATTCCAAGGGAATCAAGGCCTTCAGGTCGAACTTGTCCTGTGTGGGAGTGTCTTTCTGTCCCCTGGGTTTGTTGCACTGGTGGAGGAAAAAGCAATCCATGGGCCTTTCTCTCTTGTAGTTAAAATTTTTCTCTAGATAATTAAGAAGCCTTAAATCTCAGTAAGTGCAAAGAAGAAACCAGGCAAGCAAAACTGTGTGTCCTGCCAGGCCGACAGCTCCTCACGTGGTGGTAACTCCTGGCAAGAAAGGCAGCTGTGGATGCAGATCCAGGGCCACATCTCCTGGTGGCAGCTGCAGCAGGTTTGAGTGGGTGACAATCCCCTGGAGCAGGGCCTCTGGGGGCTGGCATTGGCACCGCTGAGCCACAGCCACGGAGTTTGGTGCCCATCAGCAAAGGCTCCCCAGCCTTGCCTCTGCCCCATTGCACACCAACCTCTGACCCTGAGCTTCCACCTCCAGCAGCATCGGAAGCCAGCACCAGGCGTGCTGGAACACTCCTGCAGCCAGGGATGGCGGGTGGTGCGCGGGCAGGAGCAGCACTGGGCAGCAGGGATTCCCCGGGAGCAGGTGGGCACACCTGAGCGACACGGGACAAAGCCTCGCTGCCCGTTTCCTCTGCCTGTGGGAGGGATTCCCCGGGAGCAGGTGGGCACACCTGAGCGACACGGGACAAAGCCTCGCTGCCCGTTTCCTCTGCCTGTGGGAGGGGAGGGATTGCTGCGAGAAAACAAAGGCAGTGAGAGCCCTGGTGAGCAGGAGTGTGGGTGTGAGTGTGGAGGGGTTCTGAGGGATGAAAATCCCTCAGCAAATAACGAGACTTGTACATTGGTTCTACTTAATAAAAAACAAAAGTGAATAAATTAATGTTTCCTGCTGGTTAATCTGCTCAGCATTTCTCTCTTGCCCCATCAAGCAAACCTTGGCAAGGCAGCTCACCCCTCCAGTGGGCAATACAGCTTTATAATGGCAATGTTTTCTATTTTGTCACACCTTTATCTGGCTGAGGAACAATACCTCTCAGGAGAGCAGAGCGATTTCCAGCAGCTCTGCCTCCTGCCAGTTCCCCTGTCTGGGGAAAACATGACAGCCCAATTCGGCACCAGGGACAACATGGCTGATGTCAGAAAGATAAGTCTTCCTGAGGAAAAACTCCTCTTCAAGTTGTTCTTGGAAGACAACATGCTGCTGGGATGGTTTGCTGTCTGAAGGCTTCTCTCCTCCCAGCTCCAGATAATTTTAGCTATTCAGTGGAAATCTTTTTGCTTTCACCCAAACAATAGAGCACAGGGCATTTTCCACAGAAACACCATGACAAAGCCCCCCAGTTGCTGTAGAGGCACAAAGGTGCTTGGATTGATCATCAGAACAACAGGACATTAAAACCCTGGGGAGGTGAATTCACCAGGGTTTTGTAAGTAGATGCTTTAAAAATATAATCCAAACATACTTGTTTCAAGTACCTCAGAAGATGAGAAAATTCAGTGCATCTGGTAGCAGCTACCACTTAATTTCTGACATTTAATCTCATTGAGGTGCATTATGTCAAATAATTACCTTAATGAAGACTTTAATGGAAGCAGGGAGGAAAATAATAGACATGCTTCGATAAATGAAGCTGTGAAGTTGCTTAGTTTTTAGCCTGGCAGGGATTTATCTCCCTCTCCTCTGGCTCCTGCAGAGGTGTCCAATGTGGCTCTCTATCAGAAATAACACATTTCAGATGCTGCCTAAGTGATGCATTTATTAATTTGGATACAATAACATAGTTTCCGAGCTTCAAACAACCCAACATTTAAAACAATGAAATCCAACCATTAACCCAGCACTGCCAAGGGACCATTAAAACATGTTCCCAATTCTACATCTTTGTGTCATTTAAATCCCTCCAGGGATGGTGACCCTACCACTGGCCTGGGCAGCCTCTGCCAGTGCTTGAAGAATTTTTTTCCTAATATAAAATCTTAACCTCTCCTGGCACAACCTGAGGGTGTTTTCTCTCATCCTATCACTTCATACTTGGGAAAAGAGATGGACACCCAAATTGACCTTTATTGATTGTTCTCATTCTCTTCTGAGGTCCTGCAGCTATTTTATTATATTTTCTTTTCAACAGACATTTTGAAGAGATTTTCTAAAACCCTCATGTGCTGATTTCTACCACCATGCCCAGGATGTGCCTCTCATGGTCATATTGATCTTGAATTTACTTCAGCAGGTTGAAGTGACATTTTCTTTGGTGAATAAACTATCTTCTAAATTTATCTGGTCTACCCAGTTTTCTGTGCACAAAGCCTGAAAGAAAAACTCATTGAAAGTTAAATTAATCAAGTCAAATAACTTTGCCTTTTTGTTGCCTGAAGGTATAACTTAAGAAAGAAAGTGTGTACTTCTTCCAGCACAGATGTGGTGGAGAAGGTGAATGAGCTCCTCCCTGACCCCAACTCCCATCTGTTTCTCAGTTAGCCTTGCCTAGCGCTGCAGATATGCAACAGCTGCCTCCAGACCTTCTTCCAGATGTTAAAATAATACAAAAAAAGGAAATGTAGCCCATTTTTCTCAAATTAATGCAAAAATGTGACATTTCAACTTTTTTTCTTTTTTAGCGTTGGGGTTTTTTTGGGTTTTTTTTTTTAGTATTTTCCCCCAAGCTCCAAACACTTCCCTAACTCTGGAAAATTAAACGCGTGACCCTTGTGGCAGAAGCCTGTGCTGTGGTATCAGACATGCAGCCATCCCCCTGACTTCCCAAAGCACCCTTCACAGAGTTTTGCTCCTTCCTGTGCCTCCTGGCCAGTTTCCTGTACAGGTGAAGCACTCTCTTCTCCTCGCAGCTCTGGAAGAAGGAGGCGGCGATTCCGCGGCACAGGCGCCACGCGTACGTTCCCAGGAACACGGTGCCGTAGAGGATGCAGAAGAGCAGCCCCACAACGAGCAGCACAGAGGGGTTGGGGGGCCTGGGGGGGCTGATCCTGCAGTGGGCAGAGCTGAAGATCAGCTGATGGTGGTAGGTCCTGTTGAAGTCCTGGAGCAGTAATGCCTCAGAAGGACGCCAGAAAACTTTGAATAGAAAGGGCATGATCCCTATTTCAGCCTGGAGAAAGGAGAGTTCAAATGTAAATGGGGTATGAAGAAACCAAAATCAACTGGTTACTACAAAACATCTGCCTGGGGGTATGGAATTACTGTTACAGCACTAAGAGAAGGACACTAAAGGGTGTGATCGCTTCAGTCTGAGTAACAGTGCCGTGTGTAGGCACTGAGCACTGGGCAGGGTGAGAGCCAGTCCCATCTGTCATCTTCATCCACTGGAACAGACATCATAGCAGGCACTCACTGCATGAGATTTATGGTGAAAGGCATCATCCAGACCATGGTATTAGTGGCTGAATATCTGAATATTAGAGGGTTTTTCTAAGCCCTGACTGTTTTCCTGTAAATCTGTCATAAGCAGGTATCTGCAGTAAGGATCCTGGGCTGGGGCAGGAGGCAGGCTGTATGGCAGAAGTGGGAAGTTAAAACACCAAACCAAAAAATATTGAATTAGAAACTTGGGAGGTTTGTGGAAATGATTGCAGAAGGCAAGAGCAAAGCCAGCAAGCAGGGATTTCTACTGAAGAAACAGCCTGTGCAATAGGATGAGGAGACATTCTCAGTGTTCATCAGCTGCCCCCTTCCTTTTGGAGTTGCACCCACTCTGCAGTGGGGGGACAGTGTCCCATTCCTCCACCTTGCTTAGGGAAGGGGTCTGGAGATACAGGGACGTCTGACTGCCTGGTCTAGCAGTGTGTTTGCAGCATGAGGCACTATTTGCTCCCCTTCCAGCTCCCAAGGGCTGTAACTTGAAGAGTGTCTGCTGCTATTTGATGCAGCTGAGCAGCTGAGGTTGTGCCACTGCCTCCTTCCCCAAAGCCTGTTGCTCATCCTGCTGGCTGCTGGGAAGGGAAGTCAGGATTGTGTAAATAAGAGTACAAAGACTGCAATCCCCACCACCCCCTCCCTGAAGGGACACAGAGTGGGGTCCCCCCACAGGGCAGGGCAGGACACCCCAGCACTCACCTTGTATTTGATGCTGAGTGTGACAGGCACTGCAGAGAACTGAGCTGCCTTTCTCACCGCCGTGTCTGCCACGCTGAAGGCAAAGTGGTCCATGGCCACCACCACCAGCATCAGCACCAGGGCCACGGTGACCAGCATGGCTTGCACGAGGCACAGAGCCACCTCTTCCCTGGACAGCTTCAAGCCTGTTGGTCGGATGAGTTTTTTGGATGAGCTCACCAGGAGATGAGTTGCTCTTCTGTCCATGGCTAAACGTTCCAGCTTCTTGGTGATGTAAAAATTGTCAAAGCTGATGTTGGTGAGATAATTTTTCAAATAACAGGTGGACTCAAAACAGAGATAGAGCATGAAGAGTCCAGCAGCCAGTCTGTTGGCAACTCGGACAGAGTCTTTGACCAGTTCCTCAACAGACAAGAACTCTCTGCTAATTTTCTCACCAGCAAGGTGCATTTTTTGGTAAATCAAGGAGCTGTTCTGAAGCAATGAAAAACGAAAATGTCCATTCATAGGCTTATAAATGGAACGAGTGGCTTCTTGGACTGCATCCCCAAACTCCCAGGAAACTTTCTCCAGCAGGGCAGTTGAGTTCAGAAGGCTGTCAGAGGAATTCTTGCAGATGCACTGAATAACCTGCAGTATGGTTTTGATGTTGCTTATGATGTTGGGTGTTATGTTCACCACTGCAATCATGATGCAGGTCGAGAAGAGAAGCTTCCTGCCCTGCTTGGTGCCTAATGTGGGCATGATCATGCTGAAGACACAACGGGCAGGATGCACCAAAAAGAGAGTCAGGAGAAGGAGCAGGCTGAAGGAGATGGCCATGGCAGCGGAGAGGTGCCAGGAGTACTCCAGGGAAGCAAACATCCAGTTGTAAAAGAGGCCTCCTATCACTGCTGTAATGCAGGAGCACTGCAGAAACAAGGTGCAGAGCTCTCTGCCGTCTGCTGGGACAGGTTTGGAGTAAATCCACCACAGGTCTGCCATAGTTCTGTGCACCTTTGGGAACAGAAAGTCTTCACAGTAAACACGGGCTCTCACCCTGGAAAAACAAGCACCTGTGTGTTAGCAGAGGAAGTTCATAAACACTGATTAGGGGGCTTTCTTGAGATGATCACTTAGGGGGGTTTTATATTGGCCTCCTCTGGGTGCCTCTGGTCTCACCCTTCTCTATTCCCTGCAAACTTCCCTGAGTAGCTGGGGCTGAGATCTCCCCTGGAAGCAGCAGGACAGGGAAGTTCAATGCATTTAGTGAAAAATAAATACTAAGCATGGTGCAACTGTTCTCTCTTAATGCAAGCACAGGAAAACATTGTGTTATTCTATAAAAACCATAATAGAGTCATTCTGAGGTGTCACCTCATTGACAGTGGTGGAGGCTTTAATGCTTATTTTAGAGGATGTTGGAGGGAGAAAGAGGAGACTATTGGCTTCTGTGGATACTGTTAGGCCAGCTCTGTATTTCAAAGGTGTTACATGGACAAGAGGCAGTTGAGTGGTGTTCTCTCTGCCTCTTAAGAGGAGGCCAAACACAAATCCACATGTTTAAGGGTGACAAACAGAGAAAACAGTTTCACACTGAAGTTGCAGTGCCAGAGAAAGTCTCCAAGGACAAGAATTTGGCCACTACAGACAGGATGAAATGTCCCATAAAGCTATTCAAATGTCTAATGGAAACAAACATTTGGGAAAGAATATAATTTCTCAGGCCTCACATCTGGAGTGACTCTCTGGAAACCAGAAAACCTGGAGGGGAGAAGAGCCTGTCCTGGGGGTTAAACCAGCCAGGCAATCCCTGTCTCCCACTGCTGGACAGCCCCCTCAAGTATCCTTTGAGGGACAATTTCAACTAGGAAAGGGGGTTTTCTGTGAAAAAGCCATACAATAGCTATCAAGACAGGGGGAAAGAGAGGGAATAAAGCTGACTCTACATACCCAATAGCAGTGAGGTGCCTCAGACTTGCCCAAAAACTCTCCATGTTGCAGTGCCTTATTGCTCTGAGAGGATCCTGGATGTGGCTGTTGGGAGAGGCAGGGTAGGAAACAAAGGCAGCACCAGAGAACCAGGACTCAAACCCCAGGATGTTTTAAGGCAATTCAGATCAGCAACACTGGCAATCTCTGAAGTGTGCAAAACCTGGTGAGTGAAGCCAGGGGAATAAAAGCACTACAGAACAGTGCCAGGATGCACAGCACTGCTCGGGATTTACACTTTTTCTGGTCTTACACTTATTGCAGAGAAGGCTTATTTTAATGACACATAAGTAAAAAAAATGAGTCAATGACACATGGGCTGACGAAGATGGAACAAGGATCCTGGAACCTGGGGTGTCATCATTCCATGTGGGGAAATCAGATGACTACTCCTCACACTGCCCACCAGCAAGAAGCGAGCAGGGCTGGCATCTCTCTCAGGGTGGAAGGGACCTTTTCCTCTTTCAGCTATCAGTCATGGCACAAAAGGCACAGCAGGATCCAGCAGCCCAGTTGGTAACTGCTCATCTGTTCTGACAGGCTGCTGCTCCCTGCTGAAGGGAGTGCAGGGTTCACAAATGGCACCAAGGCTCATCTCACAGTCCTAGCAGAGGAAGAGCAAGTTTCAGTCTCTAACCTTTCTGAATTCCTGATAGCCAGCAAATCCACTGCAGAGAACACCAGCCACAGTCAGGATTCCCAAACTGTTGAGAAGCTGCCAGATGTACAGGCCAGGATGTGCAGGTCCCAATGGACCAACCTGCCTGGCCCCCAGGATGTGCCCAGCAGAGCTCCAGCCACCAAACCTGCTGACCTGGAGATGAGGGCCAACCCCAGTGTTTGCTCCTCAGTTATGAGCTCAGGGGTTACAGGAGCCTTCCCTGCCCCTTTGCCAGATGCTCTTGTGCTAAGCCACCATTTGTGGGCAAAGGTGACACAGCTCACCCAGCTGCCACTGAGCCCATCCCCTGTGGGGACCCACTGTCCCAAGCCAAGCCCTCCCGCCAGCTGGGAACTGCCGGGCTCCCGGGATGTTCTCATGCTCCCCTGGGTGGGAAAGGGCAAAGGGCTCGAGGTCAGCTCTGTCCCAGCCATCCCTGGGGACAAAGCACGTGGGGCTGTGCCCTCCAGAGAAAGGTGGGAGAGCAGCACCTTCCCCAGGGGACATGGCTGGATCCCACGGCAGTGACAGGAGTTGGAGGACAAGGAATGACGAGCACAGAAGGCAGAGCAAACCTCTGCTGCTTCCTCTGCCCTTCCTGCAGGCACCAGGTCCTTTGTGCCCTTGCTGCTCTCCTCAACAGCTCCTCTTTATAGCTGAGGGTTTTGTTTTTCCCGCGTGGCTGGTGGAGCAAAGCTTTCCTCCTGGTGCCCTGGAGCACAGGGGCCAGATGAGAAACTCTGCCTGGCTCCAGCGGGGAAGAGGCACCAGCCAGGCGGGCGGGAAAGAAAGTGCTGTTTGTTTGGAGCATCCATAGCAATTGCTTGCACAGGCCATGAATTAGGTCTTTAATTCAATGTGCACACTAGAAGGGACTAGCCCAAAAGACCCATAGCTGGATCCTGCAAGGCTCATCAGCTTCTTCCACGGCTAAACTCCTTTCTCACTCTACTTCAGAGTGAACTGGTATTAGCATCAGCCCCTGGGACCCCATCCAGGCCATGCAGGCAGCTTTCCGGAGTAGAAAAAGAAATAAATTTAGCAATAGGCTATAAAGAACAAAAACCTCTGAAGCCCACAACATCGTGGTGTTTTCTGAGTCTTCCACACCATCTGGCAAAGGCACCTGAAGTCTGTGGAGACACTGAGCAGTAACTCTGGCAGCACCAAGAAGTGTTTGTTTCCACTTAGATTTTTTCCTCTGGCTCTACTCAAAATTGTTGTCTGCCAGCTGGACCTACAGCAAGGGCATAAATCTGGTGAAGCTTCAATTTTATGTACCATGAATGACCTGTATATGAGACAGAAACCTAAATGCCTAACCTTGCCCGGAATACAATGAAGAAGCTTGCTTTGCCAAAAAAAGAACCCAGTAAACAAAACACAGCAGCAAAAACCCCAGAAACAGCGTGTGTGTTCATAGGGATACCTGGGGGGTGAAGGCTGGGAGTGGGAAAGGGGCAGGACTGGGGCAGGGCAAAGGCAGAACCACGCATCGCAGCAAAGCAACTGTGACATCTTGTGGTCACACTCTGCTCAAGGACGCTGAGGTCTGGCTCATTTTGGTTCTGCAAAAAAATACTCTGTGGTTGGGAGAGTTCTAAGATAAGGAGGAATGCTGTGTCCTCCTGGGATGCTCCAAGGTGCCTTTTCCTACCCTGTGTCATTTCCAGATGGTATAAAAGGAATTTGCTTTCTTGATGAGCTCCAGTCTCTGTAGAGCCCAAGCTCTAAAATTTTATAACATCACCAATTTTGATTTTTTTAGCACTACAGGAGGAGCCCAAGCCCCACATGGCTGTGAGCAGTTTGCTGGAACTGTGAGACAGCAGAGGATTCCTTTGGCATCATTGCCAGGAAGCAGAGCCTGGCTTCACCTGCATAAAGGATGAACACTGAGATTGTACCCACCAGGGCAGGGGTTTTAAACTCAGTTCTGAGTGCAGACTGCAGTGTTTGGGGTGGGCCTGTGCCAAGACACCTGCAAGTTCAACCTGTGGTGACAGTGTCACCTTGTCATGGTGACAGGGATGGGAAGGGGTGCAACGCTGTACCCCAGGCAGAGGGTGGGGTAAATGAACAATGCAGCTTAAGAAAATGGCTGGAGAAAGAAGATGAATGAAGGACTAAAATAGAATTATTTAAGTCTGAAGATAATTCTTCATGGCAGTATCATCAGCACCTGTTGATCATGTTATTCTGCCCATTTGAGAAATTGAGGGTGTGGGAAAGATTAACTAATTAGGGGTGGTTCTTTGTTAAAATCACTTGCAAATGAACAAATTACAGTAACACAGAGCCAGATCATGTCTTCTTAGGTTACTACTACAGAAATATAGGAAAATCTAGCACTATCCTTTATAAGGGATAAATGTGAAAAGGGAACCAAGGCTGTCTGACCTGTAATAGCTGAATTCCCTATCATGCTGGACTTTCATTTGTTTCACGACTCTTTCCCTGCCTCTCCTAAAATTCCAGCATCACTGCTGAGTGCAAACTGACAAGCACAGCTCTGGAATCACTCCCTGCTGTAATGACCCACAGAGCAGCTCCTCCATGTGAACAGTTTGTAAAGGAACTCAAATGCTTCTGGGATAAAAGACAATGATGAAATGCTTTCCTACTACAAATAAACCAAAATTATTTTCTTCCGAGTGTCTCAGGAGAACATATGGATGTTAGTCCAGGACTTGATGGGGAACATCAAAGGAGTAAAGCAGAGATATTCTGGATGTTGAATTTCAATGAGTGGCATTTCCTGTTAATTAAAATTCACAAGGAGGCTGCTAATGTGAATGGCTTTTGTGATGGTTGTTGGATTTTTACATTCCTAGAGAAATAGTGGATAGACAAGAAAAGTTCCTTTAAAATAACACAGTCAAAGTAATAGAAGGTTACTACAGCACTTGAAATACCCTTTCCTGGGAATTTTCATATCTCTACACTTATCACAGACTCTTCAAGACTGTTGGGGTTGACTTGCCATTAAAAGCTGCTTTTGGCAAATCTTAGTACTAGCAGCAGCAAATGGAATCAGAAATTATTCATGCAGGCCTGTTCACCTTTGAACCTCAGAAATACTAAATCTTAAAACCTTGGCTCAAAAAAAAAAAAAAAAATTAAAACTCAAGCATACCAGATTAGTCCTACTTTCACAGAGGTCTGGGTAAAAAAGAGCAGAATTAGGTAATGCTGCTGTCCACATGCCTTAAATCAGATCCTCTGGGGAGCCCTGGGAAACACAGGGGCTGCTGGCAGAGCTGGCAAACAGGTCTTGGACTAAAGAGGTTTAGGATCCAGGTGCTTCTTACAGCTTTCCCAGGTGTGCCAAGGCCTCGTTGTGGACCTTGGGTAAGTCGCTGGTCCCCTCTCTGCCTCAGTTTCTCACGTTGGCAAGAGATCACAACCCTGCCCTGGCTGCATTTGTGAAATCCTTCCTGATCCCTGGACAGACAGTGCCACAGGCATGCCAGGACACTGGAAGTGATTTTTGGAGACTACTACACAAATTCTGTGGTCTCAGCTCTGCTTTCAAGCCAAAGAAAACCATCCTGGATTCGATCACCTAGGATGCACCAAGTCAGAGCTGAGACCATAAACAAACCTGCGACCCCAACACCCAGAGGGAGCTGGACTGGGTGTTACCCTTCAGAACGGGATGATCCCAAAGCTCTTGCTGCCTGTCCTCCAGGCTGCAGGGACAGAGGCAGCTCTGTGCCCGTGGCTGACCAGGATCCCCTGCAGCAGCAGTGGCTCAGGGCAGTGGGACCGCGGGGCTCCTTCCTGCGGGCACAGCCTGTTCCCTGCTCCCTGTTTGTTCCCTGTTTGTTCCTTGTTCTGTGTCCCCTGGCCCGGGACAGCAATCCTGTGCTGTTCATGGACAGCTGGTTGAGAAAGCAAACTGCAGGGAGCAATTTCCCCTTCCCATTCAGCCCATCTTTGCTAAGGCATGACAAGAAGCATCCAAGCAGAACAACAGTGCCCAAACCCAGCACAGCCAAGCAGACAGGGATTTGGGGTATGCTCAAAGGCTCTCGAGATGCTGAGCCAGGGGTTTTCCCACTTCTCCGGTGTTTAACAGGACTGCACTGCCCTCCTGCTCCTCCTGGGGAGCCACTGCCCAAATCAGAGGTGAAGCTGGAGCAGGGGGGGCTTTGTTTTCCTCCCCTCAAACTACAGAGCAAACTGGACCATGTGATGTGCTAACCAATGTGCTTTATTTTAAGTTTTCCACAATCATTAAGGATTTTGTTTGAACATTGAGGATTTTTTTTTTAATTGATTGATTAAAGTTCCACATTCAGTTGGTTTTGGCGATTTCAGTTCAACCCCCTTGAGCTGCCACCTGCCACATCACCGCAAGGTGACCCCCATGGGGTAACCCCTGCAGCAGCAGCTGGTGAACATCTGCCTGCCAGCCCTCCTACCTGGCCCTGGGGGTTATCAGCAGCACAGGAGCAGGGAGATGCACTGGATCCCTACCCCAGGCCGGTTCATCTTGTCAGCTCCACCAGTTTACATTGTCAGAGAAACCAGTCCCAGCACAGGGATCTAGTCACTCACCTTCCACAAAACAAGAATCAGATCCTTTATCATTCAATCATCTATTTCAATGACTGATGATTTAAGTTTAATATTTTATATTCTTACAGAAAATAAAAATAATTGGATAAAATGGTGATTAAAATCACAGTCAATTTGCAATGCTTTCATTGAAAGTACCCAAGCAATCTGATTTAAAAAGACGTTAAGAATCAAAATCTATTTTTTAAGAAATGTCAATTATATTCCAATGCAAGTTGTTCACTGACCTGTGACTCAGTGGGTCATTTGTGAGTGAGTCAATCTCACAACCTAAGACTGGCCACAGTTACCCACGGTGAAACACCACCGATGTCCAAAGTTATGCCAGAAATTAATTTGGTAAAAATAATTGGATAGAATGGTGATTAAAATCACAGTCAATTTGCAATGCTTTCATTGAAAGTACCCAAGCAATCTGATTTAAAAAGACGTTAAGAATCAAAGCCTATTTTTTAAGAAATGTCAATTATATTCCAATGCAAGTTGTTCACTGACCTGTGACTCAGTGGGTCATTTGTGAGTGAGTCAATCTCACAACCTAAGACTGGCCACAGTTACCCACGGTGAAACACCACCGATGTCCAAAGTTATGCCAGAAATTAATTTGGTCCCAAGCCCCCATCCGTGTACTCAGTGCACAGAACCAGGCAGCAGTCGCTGTCCCAGGTTTTCAAAACATTGAACATGTTTGGAAACAAACTGTGGCCTTCCAGTTTCCAAAGCATGGAGCAATGCACCGAGTCCTACCGACACATCTCCTGAGTCATCCCTTCACACACAAACCTGAAGAAATGGTCTTCATCCTCCATGAGAGAATTACTCATGAGATGGCAACAAGACCCCAGCCTCACACCCTGCCAGAAGCACCGGCCACGCCGCTCCTCCCCGGCCAGATTCTGATACACTCACTCACGTTGGGTTGCACATAAATAATCCAGTTGCTTCCACCCCATTGCCAGGGCTGCTTTCCAAAACGAGGTAGGGTATCAGAAGCTAGAGCAGCAAGGCTCATCAGCTCTCATGGGGGGACAGGCATCTACCCAAAGATGCTCCATGCTTACAGGTTGTCCACTTAACAACCACCTGTGACAGAAGGACCCTGGGAGAGTCGGATTTGTACCTGCAAAAGGTGGGGAAAGATCTCCAGAGAAAATAACGAATGGATGTTGTGACACTGACCAGAATTTCTAGAAATAAAATTAAACCAGAAGGTCCCACACAGTGTGAGCGGCCACGTGGCTTTTCCTCCTGTGCAAACTCTGACGATTCCAGTGCCCCAGTCCTAAGTGAGTGAGTCCTTCCCCGGGGGTGGCTTTGTTCATATTTTATTTAGTGCACTTAAAGTGACATTTTCTACAGCTGTCACAAGTGAGGTGGCATTTTCTGCATGGATGTTGGCCCATGCAGGGAAGGTCCCCAGCTGGAAGATGCTCTTGGCCCATGTGTTCATAGCCAAGCTAAGAAGCAGAACTCCCATTAGATTCATGAGCAACCCAGTTCTTGCCTACAAAAGAAATACAAAGACAGCTGTTGAGTTTAGACTGGACATCTACAGCATGTGAAGCACGAAGCTATTTGAATGCAAACATTATAAAAATGGAAGGTTTAATTGCTGTTAATATTAGCAACATTTAAAGCAGGCTTAAAGCCACAAAGGCCATTCTGCAGCTGCTTACCAAGCTTTGATCCATCAAAAACATTAACATCTGTTTAGCCTCAGGAATGTGAGCAGGAACTGGGACTAAGCCTAATTTTACTCATAAGCTTTGTTTCACTGAGCTGGGGAAATCTTCCTGCATCCAGAAACCTATGAAAGTTGAGCTGTTGACACTAGAGAAACAGGACAAGGGGCTGGGGGATTCAAGACCACTTTTGTCACAATTTGGAACCATGGTGGCTCCAAATTTCAACTTCATGCAAGCTCCTTCCATCCTTTGCCTTCAAACACTGTTGAGAACAGTATCATACGTCTGTCTTCTCATTTTACTGCATATTGAGTACTAACAATACAGAAAACTCCCTTCTTTAAGGTGAAGACTGATTGTTTTCATCATTTTATGTATCTAAAGGAACTTACCATATCCTTGACCATCAAATGTCCAGAGGAAAATGCAATTGAGTTGGGAGGTGTTGAGACTGGCAACATGAATGCATAGGAGCATCCTATAGTTCCTGGTATCATTAAATAGAGGGGATTCACTTTCAGACGAATGGCCTGGAAAACCAGAAAGGAACAGAAATTGGACCTTTGGGATTTGAGCTGCCAACAGATGAACCAAAGGATGCAAATAGCCAGTGTGCTGTGCCCAGCCCTATCCCACACTCTGTAATAAATAATCACATCTCTCATAACAAAGTCTGAAGGATTATTATCCTTCAGTGCCCACATTATGCTGCTGGACTTGTTGCTCCCAAGGGTTTCAAAGAGCCTGAAGCCCAAGAGCAGGAAAATTCCCCAGTGCCTGTCCCAGCACAGACCCAACACAAACCCACCCACCCAAGGGACATGGCAAGGAGGGGGCAGAGGAGGAGCTGCTCTTGCCATGGGATGACCTTACCAGCTCTGCCAAGACAGGCAGAAAGATGATAATAGTGGCAGTGTTGCTGGCAAACTCTGTGAACAAGGCAATGACAACCGTGATGAGGATGACAGCCACGGGAGGTGGCACACCCTCCAAGGGATGCAGACGGCCTCCTATCCACACAGACAAGCCAGACTCCTGCAGAAGGGAGAGAAAAACAGGAGTCATCCCTCTGCATCCCTGCAGGGGAACTGGTCCTCTCCTAGAACTTGTCCTCAGGGTGTCTCACAGCAAGCTTGCAAGGAGTTGTAGATATCTGCTGTCTATTGTTGTCACTTGGAGGTGACAAATATGTCCTTGGAGTGTGATGACTCCATTGATACAAGTTTTCCAAAGCCAAACGGGAACACCAAGTGACCCCCTGATAAGATCCAGCCCTGCTGGGCAGGATGATGCCACATGGCATCTGCTGTGGGCCTCACCTCACAGCCCTTGGCCATGGCAAAGCCTCCTCCAAGCAGCAGGATGATGTTCCAGGGCACGGTCTCCTGGGCCTTCCTCCAAGTCAGCAAGGGCTGGGTCTCTGTGTTTGGTGCTGGACAAAGAGGAAAGGCCTGTGTCAAACACCCACCCCAAGAGCAGCATCAGCCCTGGCCTGACTGAATGATGCCATGGGTCTGACAGCAGTGCTGAAGCACTGACCATGAGCTGCTGATAAAATACACACACGGAGTGTCTTGAGTTAGCCAACTAAAGGAGCATTTAACTTAACTTTAAAATAAAACCAAAAGCATTCTAGCAATAAAGTTTTCTGTGAGGCTTTCTTGATTTAATATTTAATATTGGGTTAATTTTCTCTCTGTAACAGACATAAACATTGTCTTCAACAGATGGGGGTCCATGGAAGGAGGAAATATTCTGCCATTTGAATTAAAGTTATTAATTTTCCATTTATCATTCAACATCCAGTGAGTTTTACAGCAGAGAGCTCATTGCCCTTAAAAGCTATTTCTTAATACGTGATAAAGTGAGCTCTGTTGCATGGAAGGATGCACTAAAGGAACTGAAATTTTCTGTTGAAAAAGGGCACATATTTTATCCACAGGAGGCCTGATTAAACATCTTCCTGTGTATGGACAACACAACAAATGTGCATAACTCAGAGCAGCTGCTATTTTGTTCCCACAGACCCCAGGCGATTCTCCATCATCCACAAAAGGCCTTCAGCTACTTCTCCCCATTCAGATCATCTCTTTTTCCAAGAAGAATTAAAATTTGTATTTCATTGCTCCTCGAGAGTACTGACCCAAGACTTCAAAACCTGCTGGAGAGTTTGAGCTCTAGGAGTTCAAATTATTCTAGAACTTGAGGAAGAGCACCTATATCTGAGAATGGACAACTAGCCCAGCTCTGCCCTCTCAGAGGTCCATGAAGGACAGGAGCTGTTGGGAAGTCAGACACCAAACCTCTGTTCCACCACCAGGTGTGATGTGGTAAATGAACACCCATTTCAAGTCACTTCATCCCACCATGGCACCAACCCTGACAGCTGCACGAGCAACGGAGTCACTCCTGCCATCAGCAGCAGGGCAGCAACTGCTAAGCCTTGTTGGTACTTCAGATTTTTTTTAAAAAGCCTCTTTACAATCAAATGACACCTTTGAGCCATCCTGCTCCACTCTGCAGCTCCAAGGAGGGATAGCATTGCTCCTTGCCCCGTGCCTGCCCTGCCAGGACACAGGCAAGCACAGAGTCCCTGCCTAGAGGGGTCTCCTACTCACCTTTCAAGTCAAACCACCACCTGAAGGAAGGTTTTTGTGAAGGGAAGAAGAACAGTATAATCACAATGGTGATTCCTGTAACTGCATCTGAGATAAACCTGTCCAAAAGAAGCAGAAACACTTGTAAGAAGCAGAAGCCTGTAGAATTAGAAAGTTTATGAGAACAGGGATTTACCAAAGAAGATTACAAGTTTCCATCAGGTTTGAACAATGCTTGTTGTTCAGAGTTCTTTTCTTTTTTAATTCCCTGTCGAGCTAATTTTCTACCATGGGCTGTGAACTCCCATAAAACCTGCCCTTCAAAAGTAAAAACCAAGATCTAATCCCCTCCACACTGATGTTCTGGTTTTCTGATTGCAGAGTTATAAGGACAGGTTTCCTGAGCCTGTTGCAGGGAGGAAGAGAGACAGAGCCCAAACATCTCATTTATATGAGCTCTTTGCAAGATGCTCAAACTCTTGGGTGAAAGGCAGGCTCCATCCAGTAAAAACCTTAAGCGTGTGTTAGATTTAAGGAGTTATTAACTGATGAGGAAAAGGTCCATAACTACTTTGTTATATTAAGGAAACATTTATCAAACTAGGATTTTATTTGAAGAAACCCACCAAACTATGAAGGTCTCTTCTTTTAAGAAATAACAACACACTCTCTGAGCTCTAGCATCCCCTAACTGCTGTATCTATTAATCTTCACAAGGTATGGTTGTCACAGCGGACACAAACTGGCAAACAGACAGGACAGCACTCAGAATCAGCTCCTGCTGATATCTCTTCAGTCTTCAGACCACTGGTGAAATCAGTGGATTGCCTAAAGAACTCAGTATTTTACTGTAAATATACCTATAAACAGCATTCCCAACATTAAATCCTAGGGATGGCCTCAAACAGACACATCACAACTTCCCACTGCTTCATGCACCTCCTCTAGGAGACAGAAAATGTAAAGTTGGCTGTGCTACTTGCTGCTCAGTTAATTTACTCAAGGAAATCTGAGTAATAGTGTTAAGCAACACAATCAGAAACTCAGGAATGTCAATGACTTGGAAATGTTACTGCAAAATGGCAGAGTGGAAGGAAAATAAAGTCTTACCCTGGTGCAAACAAGCTTGCCCAGCCTGGAATGAATTTGGGATCCCTGGAGAACAGCATGATTGCAAACATGCAGAAAAAGAAGAAAATTGCCTGTTCTGCAAACCTGAAATGAAAAGAAATGAGGTCAAAATGCTGATGTGCTGAAGGGGTGGATCCAAGCTAGGACAAGTGTCCAGCTCCTGCTGCAGCACCTTGGCTGAGAAGTGAGGCTGATTTTCTAAAATCAGCTACAGTGACACATTGGGACAGATTGTAAATCTGTTTGCAAATATTGGTGTTTGCCAGTAACAGCCTCTCATTAAGGAGGCATTAAGGAGAGGCAAGATGGAGACCAGGAATGTCCCAACAGCGGGATGCAGGGCTGACCCTCTGGGTGGGGCAGAGGAAGGGCCAAGCAGCTCCTCATGGTCACTCCTCTGACCATGTCCCTCCAGGACCTCAGCCAGGGATGGTGGCACTGCAGCTCAAGCCATACAAAAGGATGATTGAGATTCAAATCATACAGGAGACAACAGGAACAAATTCCTCCAAGGTCAAAATCTAAACACTGTCCCTTAGACACATGACAAACAGCAGGGTAAAAGGCAATAGCATTCACTAAGTATCTAGTGGAGTTAAGGTTTAACCAAGGTTTAAGATGATGCCTCAAAATTCTATTTAAAATCTCTCTGAGCACAGGCAAGGGCACACAAGCCCTTGGGAAGAGGCTGCTTGAGCTGATTTTTAGTTATGGGACTGCTAATCAAATTGGTAGAGCTCAGCTTAATGGACCTTCCCACTCCTAGATCTCAAAGTGGGACTTTGATTCTTTCAGAGACATTTTGCAGGCTGCTGGATAATGTACTGAATGGAACAAATAAACCAATTTCTTTCATTTACAGCACAGGCACAGAGAGCTGTCTTTGAAGAACCACTCCATGTTCTACACAACAGAAATAATTACAATGTCGATAGCATGACACAAACATCACTGGATATTCACAGCATTGCCCTGGGTATGAAAATACTATTTTACAGATGGGGAAACACAGACCATTTAAGGAAAAATCCTACAGTTTCAACACTCTTCAGTAATCTTGGCTGCCCAGAATGTCAGTGGATGGTTGGACATATTCAGGGTTGGATTTCTGGAGATACTCAGCTTTTCCTGCTTCCCCCTTTTTCTTGGCATTTCTCAGAAGTCTAAACCTCATGTTTTTCTTTCTGCTGGTGCTTTACTCCAAAATCCCCATCCCCAGTTTGTACCAGCTTTTACTTTCCTCACTTGACTAGCATAGTTGAGGGAATTATTCAGAAGAAATAATTTGTTCCATGGCATGGATCTGACTTCTTCCTGTATACTTTCTCTGAGCTTTAAGATCTCTTAAAGTATATCCATAATCCATATGATTCATATCCATAATATGATTCATCAGCCTTCTCAGCAAATGCCTGCTGCTTTGCAGGACAGGTATGCACAAACCCTTGAAATCCAGCCTGTGTTGGTCAGCACCTAGCTCACACAGAACTGAGTTTGTTCCTGGAGTAGAAAAATCATAAAGAGTAATTAAACAACCCAGCATGAATTCCCTCTGTACCAGGAATGTTGTTCTTCAGAAGATTTGAGTGCAAGCTGCTATTTGCAATTATTCATGCTAGCAAAGGTGAGGAGGCTGGAGCATGCAAAAAGCAAAGTTCAGCAGGTTACAAACAGACTGAGGAGAAATATAGATGTAATTTTCTTTAAAAAGCTCCATTCCCCACAGTCCTCCACTCTTAAAACAGGATATTTCCAAACCCACTTAATTTCTTTCTCACTTCTGTCCCAGCTTTACAACTCACTTTGTTGGACCCAGTTTCTGATAGTCCTCCTTTATCACCTCCTTGGCTCGGGCTTCTGCATCCACTCTTATATTTGACTTTTTTGTTTTCCAGCCCCTGCCAAGAAAAACAATTATGTTTTTACATGCATTTTTACATGCCTCTGGCCTAAGTGACACATAGGAAATAATGCATTTTCTCTGCAGCACATGCAGGACTCAGTGTCCTTCTCCAGGACTGGCAGCTCAGTTTGTGTTATCTTCAGATTGTGAAGACTAACAATGAAAATCTCTGCTGAGATAAAGGTAATAAATCTTTATTTTATATGTTCTTTTTCTCTGCATTCATACAAATGAGACCCTGCAGAGGTGAGGAAGTTTCCTCTCATTTATATTCTGAATGTTTCCTCCAGCATGGGCTGTGATTGCCAAATGAAAGTCCCAACATTGCAGGATTTCCTTGTCTTCCTTCCAAGCAAGTTACCTACTTGGACAGAACGACTAGGAATAGGGTGACACAGAAAATTAATCTGTCCCTTCATTTTTCAAGTCACTTGTAATTTCCTGGGTGATCCCAGGATGCTGCTGAGGATCAACAAAAAATGTGAGGAATTTCTAAGTGGCCGGGAATGTTAATGTGCTCCTGGCTAAGCCTCTTAGCCTGGCTGCACTGACTGCTCACAGTTTGCTCCTTTGGAGCATGTGCATACAAATGATATATTCATATCTTGCACTTCGTCTCCCATCACATCCCATGACACTGAACCTGGTTTCTAACACTGTGACCTTGATTAAAGCTACGACCCCAAATTTCTGTGTCAGACGCACCTGCTCATCCCCGTGGTCCCTGCCCTTCCTTAATTCATTTATTGTTTCAAAGGGTGGCTGGATGTTCTACAGAGATGAATGGTTGATCATTCAGAAGCTCCTGCATTTCAAGTTCCTGGCCCATTAATTTCTTGGGTTTTGGGAGTGTTATTAGCAGCAGCCTCATCTCAGCCAGCCCACTCCTCAGCCTTTTAATGCCTTTTGGATTCAAGCAAAGCCCAAGTGTCCACCTGCCCGTGCCCTGCTGCAGGACCTGCCCACAGAGAAATCCAGCCACTATCCCCAGGCACTTAGAGCCCAAGCAAGGCTCCTGTGGAGCCCTGGCTGCACTTGAGGAGCTTTGCAGTGTCTCCTCCACCACGGGGGAATTCTGGCATCCGTGCTGGCCCAGCTATCCCAATGGAGCTGAGCCCTGTGCCGGGGGATGTGCCAAAGCAAACACAGAGCATCACGTCCCCGAGCTCCACAGCAGCTCTGCCTTTCACCGGGGCTCTGGCCTCTTCCCTCACCTGAGGGGCTGGGGATGGGCCATGCCCAGCCCTCGCCAGGGACACGGGAATTCAGCTCTGCACAAGCCCTGGCACACGGTGAGAGCAGCACAGCTCTGGGCAGTGGAGCCAGCCAAGCATCACACAGCACACAGAGCCTCCTGAGAAACCCCACCAGCAAGTCAAGGACAAGCCTTTGGCATTTTCTGGATTAAAACTTTCCCATTGATCTTTTTTTCCCTATGTCTGAGACAATGTAAATATTTGGACACCTGTTCTTCTCTTTCCCCTCTCCCCACATTTGCATTTTAAAGTCAAAACAATTAAAGGCTTTTCTAAATATCACAAATTCTGTATGGTCCCTGGAGGAAGTAAGACTCTGACTTGGTTACCATCACTTGTGAGAGTGTGGAGGGGGAAAAAGGTCTCCACATGAGCAGCAGAGCAGTGCTGCAATCGCTTTAGGTTGTGCACACTGAGGGGTTGCATGTGTCCAGCAAAGATTTACCGGAAAAACATGTTATTCTCAGTTACAGATTAACACCTTGTTGTAAAATTAAGCCCTCTTGTGAAGTAATCTGTTCCAAACCCAGGTTTTTGACCCAAGAAGAAATCCTGTCTCTTTCATGGGGAACAAAGATTTTTATAATGGAGTTCAAAGCTAGATCCTGCTTTTTCCTCTGTGATTAAAAATCTGCCATTTACCCTCCACAGGCCAAAGTCAGGCAGTAAAACAACCTTTAAAATTATACATTTAACTGAATGAATATAATACATACTCTGTACATGTATTTCAGTTGGATAAAGTATATGTAACTATGACATATCTTTTAAACCTTCTTATTTTATATCAGTTTTTTTTAATTAGATCACTTGTTATGGGATGGGCCTGCTAGAGTTAGTTGCAAATTCCCCCACTTTCCAGGAGATGATCCTGGGTGATATCAGCAGATTTAGGATGAAAAGCATGATGAACACATATTTCATAATGCTAATATAACCAGACTACATATATGTATAGTGAATATCAACATACCTCAGGTTAATTCCTCCATACAGGATGGAGATCCATAGCCATCCCATGAGAAGAAAAATCAGCATTAAAGGAAATGCAAACATAAACCAAGAACCAAAGTTCACCACATCACATTCTGGAAAATAACTAAGCAAACGGGAAAAATCAAGTTAATGCAAGATGGGAAAGCAACCCTTCCATCCATGGGTAAACAAGCATCTGAAATCAGCAGTGAAATATCCCACAAACCTGCCCCTGTGCATTTAGAAACTGTCCCTGTGAGTTATCTGGACATAAGGAAATGTGAGGAGCGTTGTGTTGGGACAACTCTCAGGACACTCTGCCACCCCATCTCACCCAGCCCAGCTGTGCAAGCCTGCAAGGAAAGTTCTGGAAATCTCTCTCCAGCTGGACAATGCCTTCATGCAAAGATACTCCTGAACACCCAGGGTTAAATCCTGCTACAGAAACTGCTGGACAGTCTGGACATGAACCTGGCAGGGATGCTGCAGGGCCCAGGACAGGCTGTATATGCTCCTTGTAGAGGTCAGCAAAAGTAACAAAAACCTGTGGGCACCTGGGCTGGCACAAATCTCTGCTCCCATGCACACAGGAGGAATCTTTTATGACTAAGAAGTAGTGGGTTCATTATTTTTCTTTCTCCCGTACTGCAGTAGCTATAATTGCTCACAAAGCACTACACAGTCTATTTCATCAAAAGACTTACCAGGTTAATGGTAGGTGTGGAGTCAAGTCCCATTAAACTCAATGGGATTAAAAGCACCAGTGAAGTGAGGCACACATGCTCCAGCTTGGCTGACAGCCTGCCTGGCTAGGCTGGAAACCTGCTTATTAAGTCTAAAGCTGGTGCACTCCCTGCTTTCATTTCCCAAAACATTCTGGAAGAGAATGAATTTTCCAAACCAGCACTCAGCACAGAAAGGAATTTCCTGCAGGGATGAAGAACGTGTCTCTATCCTTCAGGATTTACAAGGATCCCAGGACAGCCTCCCATACCTCTTCAGCTGTCCCAGAAGGATGAGGTTTGGTGCAGTTCCTGTCAGCGTTGCTGTACCTCCGATGCTGGCTGCATATGGGATTGAGATGAGGAAACCTTTCCATATGTTGGTTTTGTATTCCTCCTCCTTCTTTAAGTCTGAGAGAGCATCACTGGAAAGCTCCTTCTCCTCCGCCAGATCTTTGCTTTAAAATAGTCCAAAAGAGAATCCGGTGAAAGCCCTGGTTTAAATACAGTGCAACCACTTCAGAGCCTTGACAGAAGGAAAATTCCCAGTTTTTAGAAATCCAAGCTACCAGTGTGCTCAAGGACACCTTAGCAGCCCAGTGCTGCAGAGGGGTCTGCTCCTGAAGTGCCACACGGGACTGTCAGCCTTGCAGAGGACAGAGCACCCTCAGAGCCATCCACAGGAGCTGAGGGTGCCTGTGCCTTGCCCAGCCCCTCAGCAGCTTGTAACACTGAGCATAAAGTCCACAGGACTGCCAAAAGGAAAAATAACTAAAATTGGATAGATTTGAGGAAAGAAACATCTGGTTTTGAGTTCCTGAAAAGATGCTTCCTCCCCATCCTTGTTATCAAAGCAGGACCATCGCCAGTGTGCAAATCCTGGGGGGTTTTACATCATGGGCTTCACACATTTGATGTTCCTGAGAAAACCAAGGCACAAATCCCCAGCAGGAGACACCCCTAGCTGTGATTTCAGAGTGGATGAAAAAAACTTCTGTAATGATTTGGACATGCAGAGGGATGCTGGACACACAGAGAAGGGTTTCTATCATCAGGCTGCTAGCGACTGGGATGTTCGGTATAATCAAAACATTGCAATGATTGAATTTCAAATTCCTAACACTTGGTCTAGCTCCGGGGATAATTCTCTCTCAACTCTCTAATACAAACTTTATAGTTAACTTACTCCTCAGTACTTGCCAGAAACTGCATCTCAGTTGGTACAGTGTAAAGTTTATTCTGCTGTAAAGATGCTGAAAAAGAAAGATGAGGACTTTAAAACAGTTCAAAGCATCTAGAAAATTTTCCTTGAACCAAACAGAGGGACAGAGGAAACAACTACCATCTTAGAGGAGGGGCTGTGCAAATGAAGGGTGAGCTCACACCAAGGGGATGGGGTCAGCAGCTCACACCTGGCAGGGATGAAGGAGCCCTCCTCCTCCTCCACTGCTCCAGCCCCACCACAGCACCCAGCTTCTCCTCCAACACCCAGACACTTGGTCCCTTTACAGCTTCTGCCACAGGCTGGCCTTTGGGATCTTCTAACACAGCCCAGACTTCCAGGGCATCCCTTTCCAAGTCATGGGTTTGGGGTGGGTTTTCTTGGGGGAGGATTAATTGTAATTATTCTTAGGAAGGAACACTGTTGGGCTTTGTTCCCCAAGGCACAGCAGGAGCACTTCCTGTCACTGAGCTTCATTCCCATGGGCTGAGAATTTCACACCCTGCAGACATCTAGTGCAGCCACCACAAGGCTGTAATTCCTTCTTTAAAGACCAGAGTGAGACACATTTGGGGATTTGGTTTTGTACCGGGTCCTCCAAAAGCCACCCTGACAGCAAGGACCATTCCAAGCCCATTATCCTCTCCACAAATGCCAGACCCTGCAGGCTGAGCAGCCAGTCCCAGTACACTGGGAGCTGCACACCACCTGAGCACACCAACCCAAGGGAGAACTCAGAAATCAAAAAATGGAAATGCAATACAATCGCTCTCTGTTTCCACACCTGACATTAAGGCTTTTGGCATTTGTGGTCATGGCTTGACCTCCTGAGGCTGGGAGATGTGCTAAAACCTCATTTTCCACATTCCTCACAGGACTGGAGCACTTGTGAGTTTTACCCACCTTCAGCCCAGGTGGCCCTTGCCCGCCCCTGCTGGCTCTGCTGCCTTTCCTTGTCCTCTCTGCGTGGTTTTGGGTGCAGAGCTTTGTGTGCCTGCACTTCCCAGCGCTCTGCAGACAGCTACAGACAGAGCCCAATTCCTGGTACTGCCACCCCAGCAATCCCCAAATTTCCTTGCACCCCTTCTTAGCCCAAAACCCAATCCTCTTCCACCCAATATGACCTAGAGATCAAAAGCATGGAGAGGAGCCAGTGGTCAAAGTCTCTGGACTCACTCCCGCGTGCACCAAAGGCACCGTGCTCGTTCCAGCTCAGTGAACCAAGGATTTTTGCAATGTCATGTTTTACACATGGCTAATTTACTGAATTGGAGTTAATTGGCTTGGACACACACATGCTGAGCTATCATCCCAACTTTGCCACCATGAAGGGATGTAATTAGAAGGATGAACATTAACCCATGGCTGACTGTTGGTCCCTCGGTGGATTTAGCCCAAACGCTTTTACACTTCTGTCCCACTGAAGCCCAGTCCTGGTCTGCAAAAACATTTCATTCTACCTCAACATTTTTAAATCTTTTTTCCCCAGCTAAGCTCAGACTACAAGCCCATCTGAGCAGGACCATCTGTGAGTTAGTTTTCAAGGAAGGATTGCAAAGGTAGCCATGCAAAGGAAAGTCAGGCATACTGCAGAGATTTTTCCATTAAATTTATAAAAAAGGAATTGAAAATTATTACAGGTCCATAAGTCAGAAAAGGGCAAAGGTAACAGAGTTTGGACTCAGCTGTACACACCTCTCACAGAGCAGTATGAAAATTCTGTGGCCACTTCACCCAAATACCTCATATGCCTTAGAGGCAGAAATGCTTTTCCTAGATAATTTTTGCTTTCATGACATTTTTAAACGTTTCTAAAACATTGAGAAGACCTGAAAAGAACTATTTCCACCCACTGAGGGATTCAGGCAGCAGTGCTGTGGCCACACCCTGCCAGCACTGTCTGGGATTAGGCTGTCAAACCAGGCAGCACTGTCCAAAAATGCACATTTCCCATCTACCCCTTTAGAGACATAATTTCCAAATCCGTGACTCAGTTACACCTCAAGCACTGAATGCAGTTTATCTTGAATTTGCAGAATATTCTCTATGAAGGAAAAAAATATTGGAAATATTTTCTTGTGATTTTTGCCTGGAGATATTTAAGGCGCTCAGAGAAATAAAACATTGCCAATGAGGAGTTAGTGGGCAGGAGCAGGAAAGAGGTCAGGCTCGCTGGCACAGCAGATTCCAGCTTGTCACACAATTATTGCTGGAGATGTCAGACAGAACTGCAGGGATCACCTCCCAAAGGAAAGTTCTAGAAGCTGAAAAATGTCTGTTGGTGTTAAATTTATACCCCTGCTTTGATCCACCAGAACCAGCTGGGACTTCAGCCACCCAACCTCACTACCTGCTCTCCTGCATCAGAAGCCAAGCATGTGAAAATGAGCAAATTATTACACCCACTTTTAGCTGTCAATGACACAAGAATGTAAGTATTTGCTGATCTATAACATGCTGCCCACATGGCTGAGAGTGGACATAAATGATTGAAAGCTTGAGATTCTCTCATCAGGAAAAAAGTGCCACCAACTGATCAGAGGTCACTTAATTTCAAGCACCATGTGTGGAAGCAAAGTCCTACACAAAACTGGTTTCATGCACTGGCTGAGATTTTTTTGCTGTAAGTCAAATACATTGAAATATCACATATTCTTTATTATATTTTAAATTGTTATTTTTAACCACCCAATTTTTTTTTTTTTTTGCCTCATGGACTCTACCACGGTGCTATAAAACCAAGTCAATTGGCAGATGGATCTTATCACATGCCATTGTACAAGTTTTTTCCACATACACCTCCCTTCACAAATGAATCTGTCTTTTTTGGAGCACAGGTCACAATTCAGATAAATTATAAACATTTAATAAACTATGAAATGAGTATACCTTTTTCTCATCTCCACTTCTAAGTGTAACATCAGATTCATCACTTTTTCAAGGACCTCAGCTTTGTTCATCCATTCAGAAAGATTACAGAAAAGGATGAGTCTACCTTGGGACACTAAAGTTCAAATAAAAAGTCTACATAAAAATGCAGATTTTGATGCATGAAATGTACATTTTACAGGTGCTTCCTCCTTTGCCTGTATCATAAATAACTTTTAAAAGCCTTTATCTCAAAAAATAAAAAAAAACCACACCAAAAAAAACCATAATCACACCATCACATGATATTTGCAAAGCATCACTTTATTCATTCTTCTGCCTGCATGCCTCTCCCTTGCTTTTTCTGGTTTTTCTTACCACTGCAAGTGTGAGTCAAGGATGTTAATTCTGTGCTTAACAGTGTCTAGGACATGTGGGGAATTTTCCTTTTATGTGTTCCCAAACTCCACTGTATTTACAGCCACAACTAGACACTCAAATTCAGAGACTGGGGACGAAAAGGTTAAAAGCAGACTGACAAAACACAGAACAGGAAACTATAGCAAGGAAATCAGTGAGTTTGATTTTAATAGAGTAGTCAAAAATTCATAAAGAAAACATGATAAAGCAACCTGGAGTGCAAATATCTCATGATTGCTAAACATCAATGATGAATGATTAACTGTATCTTTATTAGATGTGCACATGTTTGAGCCTTCTTCTGGGGACTCCTTTATCCACCTGAGGACTCAGTGGGAACTAAGAAGCCATTGCTTTTAAATCACAGAGGCAGAGGAATTACTAATTAGTGCAAGAAGAAGCAGAAGAAGAAGAAACTGTGAGTACTGCTCCAGCTATCAGCAACAGCTGCAAAGGGGATGTCAGGATGTCATTTCTGGATCTCTGTTTCTCATCACTGTCTGCCAGAAGCCCAAAGTTCTGGTGAATGGCTTGTGAAGAGAGGGCTGGAGAAAGGCCTTACCTGGCCACACACCCTGACCTATCCTCAACCTGCTCAGGAACAACACCAAACAGCAACAGGGAGATGGAAAAAATCACAAAGCACTTTATAGACAGAGATTTAACCTGCCAGCCTTCCCCTGAGTCCTTGCTTTCTCCTCCAGTTCCATGGGTGAAGACACAGGAAAAGCAGAGAACACACGTGTCCCAAGTGCACGACAGCTCTGGGTGCCACAGGCAGGGACCCCAGCATCACCTGCCCTATCCACAGCCCTCCCTGGCTCCAGCTATCCCCACAGCATCCCTACAAATCCCACCACCACTGTGCCACAGAGCTGGACTTTAACCTGTGCCAGCAGCAGGTTTATGGAGCAGGTTGGCTGGGCATCACCTCTTTGGTTTTCCAGGCCAGTCATTGTCTCCTGCATGACATGAGGAAAGGGCAGATAAAAGGGAGTTTTCTGCCAGTATTCTTCCACCATGGGGATAAAGTGTGCAGTAAAGTGGGACCAGCCCTGAGATCAAGCTGCAAGCTAGTGAACACGGCATTTGTGCCAGTGAAGTCAATAAAATGGGGCAGATTTGGGAGCAGCAGGGCAGACCTCAGCTGGCTTATACTACTGCCCTGTCTCAATTACCTTGGTTTTCTTCATTTTCCCTGTTCATATCCTTAGATGTGTCTTTCTCCCCAAAGAGGCTTTTTAAAATTGCATTTGCAATTGGAAGCATCATAGCAGTGGAGGCAGTATTACTTAGCCACATGGACAGGAAAGACGTTGTCAACATCATCCCTAAGATCAGTCTGCAAGAGAGAAAAAAGGAAAAGCTGAATTTCTTCAGTTTGGCAAGTTCTCTGACACATTAGTAGGAAAAGCTCATGTGCAGAGATACCAAAACCAATACCAAAAAGGATTTCTATAACCCTCCTGAAACTGGATGGAGCACAAGTATGGGGCTGAACCCAACGATTCTCCCTGTGCTGCACTGGCCCGGGGCAAACAGCTGAACAAACACAATAAACTGGAGAAATGGGGGTGTGGACAGCCCCCACTATTGCAGCAGCACAGCAGAGCCTCTTCCCAAGCACCTGCAGCTCACATTCCCCAGGGAGAACCCCCTGCTCCCATAGTCACCTGGCTGGCTGGACTCCCACCAACATGAGCACCCGGAGAGCAATCCTGCGGTGTAAATTCCACTCCTCTATGGCCGAGGCCATGATTAAACCACTGAGGAACAGGAAATTGGTGTCTAAAAAGTACTGTGGGCAAACTTTGTTAGATGGGAGGATCCCCAGGAAGGGAAAGAGGACGATGGGCAGCAGAGCTGTCACAGCCAAGGGCAGAGCCTCGGTGCACCAGTACAGGGCCATCAGCAGGATCACATAGAGACATCTTCCTTCCTGCAAAAGGAGGAGAGAAAAAGTGAGATGTGGCATTACAGAGGCATCTTATCACTTGGAGATACTCAGAGAAGCAAAATGTTCCAGTTACTCCCTTAAGGATACAGTACTTCTCCCAAATCATTTCCACCAAGCACATCTTCCCCCCTACACTGTGTAAGGGGTTCAGGACTGATCTGAGATCACAGCAAAACCAAAATCCTCCCTGACTGCCTGATCTTCCCACATGCTGCAGGCTCATAGGCATCAACCGAGGAACCTTTGGAGACCAAGAATTGTCCCACAATATTGAATTAGGGCTGGCATTGCTGCTGACATGCTCAGGTGTCTGACCCATTTAATGTTTGTGCTTTCTTTCCAACTTCCACAGACCATGCTCTGCACAGCTAGGCAAAAACAGCCTTGGGAGATGTATGTTCCCCACATTTGCAATAGGCAGCGCTCAGAAAGGTTTCCTTTCTTGGATCAGTCTCCAAGTGATTTATGAGAACCCATTCCATGGCAACTGATCCCAGCCCCTACGGAAATCAGTAAATCAAGCACCCCGGTGTCACAGCACTTCCTGCGGGCAGGCATCACCCAGCATCACCCCAGCCTTGGCCAAGGCTGGCAGAAACCCAGTGCCCCCGGGCCACAGCATGAATTCACCCATCCACCCAGGAGGCACAAACTAGACCAAAGCCATCTGTCACCACAGCCACGGCCAAAACAATGAGCGATGGAAGGAAGCGGCCAGGACGGGAGAGCCCAGCGCAGAGCCGAGCTCGGCCACAGCAGGGCTGAACAGGGATATTGTCAGCAAGCACAGGCAGAGTGCCCACAGCGCTATAAATAACTGCTGAGCATCACTTGGAAGCCACGGAACTATTTATTTTATCACTTTTTCAGCTTGTTGAGCAGGTTGAATTGTGACTCAAAGGCACCTCTGTCCCTCTGCTGGGACCTCCCTCCCCTGGGCTGCTGAGGGGGATGATGGCTCTGCTCCCTGCCAAGGCTGGGAACAGCGAGGGCTGGCGACTCTGGGCAGCTCCATTTTGGGGATAATGTGATCTCAGCCCCATCATTTAAGGATTCAGCCAGGCACCAGAGCAGGTACAGCACAGCCACACCTGCCTGTTCAGCTACAATTTGCTGCAGGCCTGGGCTGAATGAAGTAAAAACCAACATGGATTTATATGTTCACTACATCTGCAAGTGAGGGTTTGAAAAGTGGACAAAATTATAGAAATCTTTTTAGAATCATTTTATAGAATGATTTTCTTTTAGCACCCAGGCTTTGCATTGACAAGGGGTCCTGCTAGCAAGGCCCCAGCACTTCAGTGAATGTGGAAACAGGAACACAGCAGAACTGAGTGTAACTGATTTTTTTTATACATTAATTGTAGCAGCATCAATGCCTCACATAAAGTGCCCAAGATCTGGATTTAAAGATCACTTTCAGACCTAATTTTAGATGCCAGTAAAATGACCTATGAGAGTGTGTGAAGCAAAACCCTCAGGCTCAGCTCAGCCCTGGCAGCTCTCATGTGCTCCTGTGCTTCATTTCCCCTAAAGCAGCAGGACCAGAGCAGCAAACCTGGCAGTGACCAAAATAAAGAATCACATTTTAAAGTGTTTGCCACTAGATTAATGATTCAATTCCTGTGCCAACTCATAATTCCTCTTTACTATGATTCTTTTTATATGCCAAAGAAATAGCTTTGCTCTCATTAAGCTCTTTTCCATTTGATTTCCAAAGGCACCATGGATAATTTTTTTCTCCCACTGGCAAAATATTCTTCAGTTTCCCACAAGGAAAGTTGCACCAAACTCAACTTCAAAGTAAAGACACTTTTGCTCTTAGAGGAGTAGAGCAACTGAAAATATTCAACAATGATACAAGAGCATATCACTGAAGCCTTTAATTGACTTTATAAAATAGATGATGTACAATTTAGAAAACTAATTATAAGTAATGGATATTTATTCTCCAGTGTATGGAAAATGTTCTGGAAAACACTGCAATGAGACAGAGCATCAATCTAATAACTCCTCTTCACTGCAAGATCAAAAGCCAAGGCGTAAAAATGAAAGAGGGCAGAAAGAACTGCTATGTGAAAGGCTTCCCTGAATTTTTGAAACCTATATGGATCAACAGGGAACCACTCGAAGAAAGCAGTAGTGCTGTTTATCCAATTTATTCTACCCTAAAAGAACACAAATTGCAGCTATATTGGAAAGGTTTTTGAGACAGGACCACCATTGAACAAAAAAGGAACAAGACCGATCCACAATAACTTCAACTTCAACCATGCATTCCCCAGAATGAAAAAAAAAGTCATCAATAAAATGGAATCATATGAAATGAAGGCTTTTTGATTACAAGATATTTTGTAAATATTAATCAATTATGTCCCCAGTGTTTGTTATATTTGGTTAGTACACAAGCAATAAAAGCTAACAAATGTTAGGACAATGGTCCTTTAGGGATTTGGCCAAGGGTGCCCCTGGACAGGCTGAGCTGAACTCGCTGCTCTGTGTGGCACCATCACCTCCACATGATCTTTATCCTCCCATCCCTTGGCTGCATCCCTGTCAAGACTCCTACTTCTTGTATCTCCCTGCAGCTTTGTATTTATATTTTTCAACAGAATTCTATCAAAGTTCATGGTGGCACATATGAACTTTAAAATGGATCTTGTGATCAGGTTAATTTTGTAGCCATTTAATGATTTCCAGGAAAGCACTTGTGGCTCTGGACTGCGGCAGCTCTTCCTCCTGTTGCTCAAGAGCCTTGGGATCGACCTCTGCCCCTGCAGACACAGATCCTGTCTTTGCTGCTCTCAAAGCACTGGGGATTTTCCACCCTGGGGGACCTGCTGAGCTGTGGCAGAGGAGCCAAGCCACGAGGTTGTCTCCTGTGGGCAGGAGCCCTGGCTGTCCCTGGAAGGGCAGATGAGGTGCCCAGGGAAGGAGGCTCTGGCAGGGAATGTGGGTCAGGTGAGGCGGGCTGGCTCACCCCGGCAGAGCACCGAGACACGGGCACAGCCACCAGCCCCCACTGCCAGCCTGGAAGGGACACCAGGACCTTCAGCTGGACCTTGTTCCCATCAGAGCCAGGGCCCACAGCTTCCCCACCCGGCAGACTCGGTGCTCAAAGCAGCCCTGCCTTGGCACTGCCAAACTTTGGGTTTTCTCCATCAACCCCTGAATGCTGCAGGGTCATCACAGCCCATCAGCCACATGGACTCTCCCACACCCTCTAACCAACTAAAAGAGGGCTCCTCCAGGACCTTGATACCAATACCAAGAGAGATTTTGGCTGAATTGGAGCTTCTCAAGCCCTTTTATCCCTCTGCTATCACAAAGAAACATTCTACCTGTGATGTACAGAACCCCTTGGAGCAGAAAACAAGCACTGAGTGATCTCATGGCACAGCTGTAACTGTGCTGCCAGCCCCACTGTGCCCACTGCCTGCTCTCCAGCAGGATGGGTCTGTGAATCTGATTTCTACTAACCCAGCTCCTGCAAGCATTATGTAATCTGGACTCAGCCCAAGCCCTGTTTACCAGCCTCCCTGCCAGTGGAGTCGTTTTGCTCCCTCTGGCTATTTGCAGAGTGGCTAGAAAGGGCCAGTAACACAGGGCCACAAAGCTGCAAGAGCTTCAGGGAATCTATTTTCCTCTGCTAAAATGACATAAATCTTATTAAACACTTTTATTTAAACTTCTTGAGGTATTTCATAGCTGGCAAAAAAAAAATCTCCTTTAAAATGAGACAGCTGAAGCTCAGATAAGGTGGGCAAATTGAGTGTGTGGCAAAAAGTCACCAACTCAACAAAGAGCAGCCTGGTAGACTCTTCACTGCTGCTGTCAACTTTCACACATCCCATACACACAAATACCACATTAACCACCTTGGCTGTGGGTAGCCAGTCATGCAGCTGTGTTGAGCTAATTACATATTATGACCTCCTGCATTTTATTTTTTTTTAATGCTTCCCAAGGGAGGCTACAGATCAGCCTGGCAGGTGGTCAGCATCCCTGGTGATCTCCATCTGTACTGGGGCTTGTAGAAATACACCCACTTTATTGGTACACAACAAACTCTTCAGGCAGCTCTTGAAAAACTATTGTATGGAAGTTGTCTGAACTTATAGATTTTAAAGCAGCCAGGGTTAGATGTAAGAAATTTTAAATTTCTGTTTAGTTACTGTCACAGTAAAAATATTTATTATCAGTCAATTTCTTATGCTGTAGGATTGCACTATCAGAATTTTGCTCAGTATAGAACAAAAATGCTTCACTGAGTGTGGCTTTTTCTGCACTGTCCATCTGGCAACACTACATTTGTGTTCATCACCCTCAACACCCTGCCCAGGGATTTCTTCCATATCTCTTTTCATAGAACCACAGAAAAAAAGTAGTTAGGAAAAGACTTTACAATCATAGAGTCATCCATTGCAGACACAGGCAGGAATCAGGCAGACATATTTTATATGCAGTCGTGTTTTCCAATTAATATTAACTCCTGTCAATAAAGACTTCCCTTTCCCCCAACCCAACATTGCTGCTTTCACATCCTCCCAGTGCCAGCTTGCTCTTCGCCAGGCTGGCCCTCTCTCTGGACCGAAGCTCACAGAGGATGTGGTAAAATGTAGTCACTGTACTTTCAGTTATCCCCCTCTTTCCCCACTAAAATCCTTGCTTTCATCTTTAAACTGACCATTGCTTCCAGGTTTGTGAAACTGGCCTTCCCAAATCACCTCACACAAACACTGCAGAGATGGACTTTGTGCATGAAATGTAAAACCAGGCTGTAATCACTTATTTCTCTGCCAGGCTGCTCTCTAGACTGTTCCCTGCCTGTCCATGCTCCTGCTCTGCTCTCCAGCCAGGATCCAGCACCCCTCCAGAGTGCAGGACAACCCACTCCCATCCCCTTTGTCTACATTAGCATCACCCCTCTGCCCACAAAAACACCCCTCATGCTCTTTGCTTTCCAGTGCAAGCAGTGTCATTTTTATTCCAGAAGATCTTAAAGTCTCCTGTACTAACCAGGAGGACCCATCACATCCAAGTTAATTTTAAATTGCTCTATGGCCACTGAGGAAGTCAAGTCTGTTTTCTGAAGGCACTGGGCCCTATTTGCCTGCTCAGAGCTCCTTTTAGCAGATTTGGCTGCCTCAGCTGTTACCAAGCCAAGAGGCTGTAGACATTGAGTTCATTAGAAGCTGTTGGAACAAGCTCTTTGCACAGCTCATTAAAAGTGCCCCCATGCCCCTTCCAGCAGAACAGTTCCTCCAGCCCCTCCTGCCCTGCCCCAGCTCTTTGCAATCATTCACAGCCCCCTGAGCAGGGGGGTCACAGGCACTTCCACTCACGGGACAAATATTCAGCCATTTCAGCAGCACCCAGAGCGAGAGGTGACACACAGACCCCTGTGCAGAGAACTGGCTCCTGGGAAGTGGCTCCACACAGAGCATTTCCTTCTGCTGCCTGATGGGATGGACACAAAGCGCTGTTCCAGACACAGCCTGGGCAGCACACCCTGAGGTCTCAGCAAACACACCCACAAAGCAGAAATTTCATTTCACTATTTAGCAGAAAGAAGGCTGCAGACAAAACCATTTACACCAGCCTCCCTCTACACAACCACCACCTACAGAGGCCATCAATTAAAAACAAGGGCAATTAACATAACAGCAGCAGTGCCAGCCCTGTCACCATCCCTCTGTGAAGGGACTCACATAGGGATCTGGAGAAAAACCACTGCAGAGTGACAGCTGGCAAGAGCTCTAATCACAGCTTGAAAATGTGGATGCTGGAGTCCATCACCAGTGAGCAAGAGCAGACCTGATGGATTCTCTTTTGTGTTTCCAGGGGGATGTCACTTAAGTGTAGGTTTCCCTGGAAAACCCACTGCACCCACATCACAGGGTATGACTCAGAAAGGACATACTAATCCAAGGAGCCACAGCCACAGTGTTCTATCAGCTGTAAGTCATGAGTTCCTGGTCTCTAGATCCAGTGAAATGTTGCCCTTGAAACCAAAGCTGAGGTGGCTTCTTATGGTGGCAATCCCTTGGGAGATTAAAATTTCTGAGCATCCCAGTAGGGAGCATGTAAATGGTGACATGATGTGAGAGCAGATTTTTAACATCGACAGAGCAGGAAATGACTGCAGAGGTGCCTGTAAGACACGTTCTCACAGGGGAAGGCTCACCCTGAGACCAGCAGAGGCTGACCTCACTGCTTCTCCTCTCCCACCAGTTTCTGTTGCACCCTGCCAGGCAGCATTCCGACATCCCAGCAGGAGCACAGGGCTCTCCAGCCCGTCCAACACCCCCCCGCTCCAGATGCACAAGCACTCGGCAGCATCACGGCTGTCACAGTGACTGCACACCACGCAGGACTCCTCCTGCCCCAGCCTGCTGTCCCTGGATGCCCTGCCTGGGACAGCTCCCAGTAACTCCAGAGCAGCCCAGTCAGTTGAGTTCTTGCTGGACACCTGCAGCAGCTCTCACGACCCGGCTGCCCAGGAGAGCGCGAGCTGGGCTGGAGTCCGGCGGCAGGACAGACCGCCTGAGCAGCGAGGGCATGCAGCCTGTGCCATCACGTGCCAGGACAGCTTCCACACTCTGCCACCCCTGATCCCCTGCCTGCTGACCCCTGTCCTGCTCCTCCCCATGGCTGTTCTCACAGGGTGGTTAAAAGCGTAACCTGCCCCTTCCTCTCCCACAGCCCCTCGCGGCCCGGGCTGCGGACAGGGGGTCAGGCAAGCTCCAGACGTCAGAACTTAATCCCCTGTTGGTGCAACAGCAAGTTTCTTTTCTTGTTGAACAAGTGAGAGAGTTTAGTGTTGAAACCCTGGATGAATCATTGACCCCTGAACATGAGCAGATACAACTGCGTACAGGAGTTAACAGCTACAGGTTCCCCCTATGCCAAACCTTGGGAGAACCTGGGGAAGCTGCAGTTTGGATTTGCTTGAAATGTTCACTCATGTGAGCATCCAGGTTTTGACAGGCACCAGCCAGTGCCACTGCTACCACCTGTGATGTTTTAAAATCCATGGGGAATGAAGAACAGACCCCCAAGGCGAGCAGCAGAGCAGCCAGCTCTGCCAGGGTCTCCTTCCATTACCACAGCTGTATCCTTGCTTTGCTGTCCACTCAGCTGCAAACATTTCCGCTTTCCCAACACCATTTTTTCTTCAATAAAACAGCACTGGTCAGACCACCCTGTCCATGAGGTCCTCCATGGACTGCACCCTGGAGTGGACTAACATCTCACTGGGGAGCTGAGCGGGAGCGAGCAGCACCATTACACCACAGAGACATTTTTTAGCTCTGTACACATACAGGAATCCCTTTCCTGAACATCCAAATCCTTGTACTGCCTGTGTGACACTACACACTTCAGCACACAGAGCATCTAGATCAAGGCCCTTCCCACAGACTGGGTTCATCTGAGATTTCTTCTCACTATTAACCCCTGCACAAAACAGACATGAGCTTGCACTCAGCATACAGTGCAGCTCCTCCCTCTCTAATCCTATCTCACAATTTTACCAAGTGCCAAAGTCAAACAAGATGCTATTAAATACACTTGAAGTCATTTGTTCAGCTATTGAAAATTAATGTAGAAATGTAACTATTCACTTATGAATCCGCAAGGGAATTTAGTACCTGGTGTGCAATGTGTTTTCTGCTCCTTGAGGACATTCAACACAGTCCTATTCATAACTCAGCCAATAATATAAAACAGAGAAAAAAGTGACATTAAATCCAAATAAGTGTCTCTTTTCATATATGGTGCCACTAAAGAAAGCAATGGTCAATCTATATTTTTTAATTTAACAGGTGCATTTTGTACCTCAAAGGAGAAGGTTTCACCTGACAAGCACTGAACAGGCAGAACTAAGTGCCAGCTTCGTGTCCTTACAGCACCTAAACTATTCTATATTCACTACATAGTGATCATTACTTATTTTCTGATGTAAAAAAAGTCATTCTCAAATGGATCTGAGTCAGAACATGAGGGTGAAATCCGGCTCACGCTGAAGTCAACGGTGCAAAATTCCACAGTGTCTTCACTGCCCTGTGGACTTCCACCCAAGGCTCAGAGGTTCCTGGTGCACAAGAGCTGTGCAAAAAAATCCTCCAGTCCCCAAAGTCTTGCCGCAGATTGCTTTATGTGCAGCTCATCCATCACATGCTAAAGCACAAACCTTAAGAGGAGACCAGTTTCCACATTTACAAAACACCATTTATCTTTCTCGCAAAGCTTTTTCAGACACAGCACCGAAGGTCCCCTGAGAGTCACCCAGAGCGGGGCAGGCACTCCCAGCCCTGCAGCACAACCAGCAGCACAGCCCTGCAGCCCCCTGTCCCACCGTCACTCCCATCGCTAAGGGGATGTGCCAGCGATGCCAGGCAGGCTCCCAGCACCGGGCACTTACCTTCCACCCCAGCTCTGCAAAGCCCCGCCCTGGGTGATGCTGGTCTTGCCTCAGTTTCCCCAAATGCCATTTGGGCACTACTGGTAAAAACTACAGGGCGCTTGGGTACCAGCAAGAGGCACTGATCACTGCCACTGAGCTTGAGTGATACGATCCTCCCACCTCCCAATGTCCACATAAGAAACATTAAAGAGAATTCATGTTACCTATCCCTTCTTCCCCCCATAAGCCCGACATGACCGCAGGACGCCCCCTCCATTCGCACTTGCCCGGGATGGCTGTGGGCATTAACTGATTTGTTACTATTTGTGAAAAATTACATATCTGCTGTTAAGAAGAGGGAGGGGAATGGAGGAGGTGGATCCAGACCAGGAGCAGAGTCCTTTCAGATGGGAGCACAGTCCTGTCTCTCTTGCTGATTGTGCCACCACTTTCTGATTCCTTGTTCCCTGTGTGCCAGTGATTCATGGTTTATATAAGGTGGATGAGGGTTTCTCACATCTGCTTTTTAAACCAATGTATTTGACTCCAGCTTCCTTGATGATCTAGGAAATTGTCTCAAGGAGGAGTAACTCTCCAGAGAGCTGATTAATTCTGAAATGGAGAGGCTTTTCTGTCATATATGGATGGCACTCAGAGTATGCACCTGAAGTACTAAGGGTGTCACTTTGCTTTCCCATTTTTCCCCCCACCACTCAGCTTTGCTTAGCCTTCACTTGCAAGAATCCAGGCGGTGCAAAAAAGCAGCTCCCTTGGCTTTGATCTCTCGCTCATCTTGTTGCAGAAGGGTGAGGAGCTGCGCAGCCCACCCTGCTCCACGGTCCAGCCCGGGCAGGCAGCAGGGTGCCCCTCTCCCGAGGCGAGCACTGCTGCTGCTGCGGCAAGCGGTGGCACGGAGCAGCCAGGCTGTGTCCCCGCTCCGTGTCCCGCCGCTCCCGGGGTGGAACGCCGCTCCATTCACCCTGAGCTCCCGGCGCAGCGTCCCCGGGGCGCTCTCCTGCCCCGTGCCCCACTCGCTGCCCCGCAGTCTGTCGCTGCCCGTGCCCCTCGCCCCGCAGCGGGGGTCCCCAGCCCGCAGTGCCCACCCGGGGTCCCCTGGCGGTACCTTGGGGGGGAGGCTGAGCAGGATGGGCACCAGCGCCAGCGGCGCGCACAGCAGCACCACGAACCTCCGCACGCTCCACGCCTTCTTCACCAGCGCCCCCAGCGCCGCCATCCCGCGCCCATCGCCGCATCCACCCCGCGCACCCGCTTTATCCCCCGGGAACGGCCCTCCCGGTGGGCGGGACACCCCCCCGGGACCCCCCCGCCCTTCTCCGCCCCGCCTCGCCCACCGGGAGGGGCCCCGCACCGCCCCGCGGCACTGCGCCCCGCTATACCGCCTCCCATCCCCTATAGCCGCCCTTTATACGACCCCTATATCCCCCTCCTTTCCCCCATCTCGCCATTTCCCAGCCTTTCTTCTTTTACTTTTTTTTTTTTTTTTTTTTCTTTTTAAAAATAAGCAAACACAACCAAACAAAAGGTCAGCGGCGCAGAGCGGGATAGAGCCATGGGAAACAGCGGAAAAGCAAAAGGCAAAGTCTTGGCTCACACAAGTGTGAGCCCCAGCAAGCAAGCGAAGAGCCTTGACTGTACCCTGGGTGTCCTACCGGGCTGGACCTTAAGGACGCTTCATGAGTCAGAAAGAAAACACAAAAGCTGCCCAATTTGAACTCCGAGGGTGGATTTTCTTGCCAGCTTTGCCCTGTATCAGGGTCACCAGAAAGAAGATGGGGGAGAATGTGGGGCAGGACAGGATTCCCTCTCCTGACTGCAGTGAATCTCAGCAAGTGCTGCGGAGGCTGCTGGTCTCGTCTGAGTGCAGTGAGAGGCAAACAGCCCAGGAAACTGAGCTGCTCCACTATCAAGATGAGCGAGAGATCAAAGCCAAGAGAGCTGCTTTTTTGCACCGCCTGGATTCTTGCAAGTGAAGGCTAAGCAAAGCTGAGTGGTGGGGGGAAAAATGGGAAAGCAAAGTGACACCCTTAGTACTTCAGGTGCATACTCTGAGTGCCGTCCATATATGACAGAAAAGCCTCTCCATTTCAGAATTAATCAGCTCTCTGGAGAGTTACTCCTCCTTGAGACAATTTCCTAGATCATCAAGGAAGCTGGAGTCAAATACATTGGTTTAAAAAGCAGATGTGAGAAACCCTCATCCACCTTATATAAACCATGAATCACTGGCACACAGGGAACAAGGAATCAGAAAGTGGTGGCACAATCAGCAAGAGAGACAGGACTGTGCTCCCATCTGAAAGGACTCTGCTCCTGGTCTGGATCCACCTCCTCCATTCCCCTCCCTCTTCTTAACAGCAGATATGTAATTTTTCACAAATAGTAACAAATCAGTTAATATCCACAGCCATCCCGGGCAGGGGCTGAAGGGTGGCGACATCACCACTGCGGCTCTTTTCCAACAGCAGAAGGGACACAAAAGCTTTTGCCGGGCACTGCCGGGGGCCGCTGGCAAGGCGAGGATCCGGCATCCGCCTGGCGCCCGGCCCCGCGGCTGCCCTGCCCCGCTGGCACCTTCTCTCGGGGCCCAGAAGAGAGCACAGAGCTGACCGAGAGGAATCCATGAGGATTTTTATCTTGCTGCTTTTCCTGAACTGCTCCACAACATGAATACTAAGTTTTCATGGCCAAAGTAAATGAGATTGCTGTGCTGTCTCAACGCCACTACAGCTGTGGGAGCAGAAGCTGCTGCATTACTCGGGAGAGGATGGACAGAGGGATGACTGAAAGCAAAATTCAGGCCAGTAAAACAATGCAACTGCTTAAAACAGGTTCAGCTTACCCAAAATACCCATCAGCCAGAGACTGGGACCCCGTGTTTGAGTGTGTGCCACATGCCGGACCAAAGGAGCTCTACAAAACTTCTCTCAAAATCAACCTTGAAAGTTAAAAAAAGCTTCAAAACAATAACAACGGGCACAGTTTGTTCTTTCTCTTACAAGGATACACATTTCTGGCAGTGTGCAGGGCGAGGGGACGGGCAGCACGATCCCCTGCAAGTCGTGGCTCACGCCGGGACAGCCCCTTCCCCAGCCCCTCCGGCCCCTTCGGCTCAGCAGGGCAGATGCTGGCCCAGCCCGCAGAGCTGCCAGCCGAGCCCATTGTGCCTGGGCTGCACGCTGGTCCTCCTGGCCTTCAGAGGGGAATTAACGTTTAATTAGTTTGTTTTCTTGTAAACTCCATCTCTATCACCCCCATTTCCAGTGCCAGCAGCAGCTGCAGGTGCCCTGTGCTTTCCCTGCCATCACCGGGCTCAGAAACAGCTGGAAACAGACTGCTTCAAAGGGCTTTGCAAACAGAACTCAATCCTGGGCTACTACTTAAAGTAAGTTTAGTTTATTACAAAAGAGAGGTGCTGTGAAGTGCCCAAAGGGACCACTGTGGGACACAGCTTGTGCTTGGGCCAGGGAGGGGCTTTATTTATCTGTAGTGACCCTCACAGAGTGAACACTGAGCTGCAAATGAGCTTTTATTGCACTAACTCGGTTTTCTATCAGCAGTGACGGGAGAAGAGGCTTGCAAAAGGTTATCAGTGTTCTGCATCTTGCAAAACTGGAAAATATCAATTTCCTGCAGACATCAAGGCCTAGACTATAGAGAAGTTCAGTGAAAAAAGCTACACCATATATCTTGTATGCATAGTTTTTACATATACACAGTAACTGCCATCACAGAGCAGCCACTGTCCAGAAATCACGGCAACAGCATCCCCAGATTATTCAACAGTATCTCCGTCCCTGTTCCTTGCTTGTATGGGTTTTTTTTGATGTTTCGTTTTTCTCTTACTGCTCCTCTAGGTCTCCAAATCATATTTATCTTGAAAAACCCCCTTAGTTTAGTTCTGCCCTCATGGCATCAGTGGGCAAAACAGAACTTGGTCTTATTGCCAAGCTCAAGTCAGGCTGGTTGCCAAGAGCTCCCCACTCCCAGAAACCACTGATGATGTCAGATACCAAAATAAACAGAAAGGCAACTCCATCAATAATCAGCAATTCCCTCCAAAATACTATACTGCACTTTCTGCTGATAAAATGCCTATATTTCCATTTCATTTGTCTTTCCCTTTTTCCTTTCATTCCTCTTTCCACATCTTATCTGCACCTCCTTGTATTCACGGCATTTTTGAGCGATATCCAGGTGTGGAGCAAGGTCAAGCAGGTGCTGGGAAGCCTCTGGAAATGAAGCTGTTCCCAGCAGGCCTGGAGTTGATGCCCTGAGACAACAATTCACTTTTAAAAGCAAAAAGATTCAGGCAGTAGAAAGGCCCAGAGTGATCAACTGTACATCCCGCACACAGCTGTAAATACATTCTGCTCAAAGGTTTTCCCTGAACATACAGGTTTTCCTGGTGTGCTAGTGATGGTGGCAGAGAGACCCCCAGTGGCTTCATGCACCACCAGCCACCCTTTGTCACATCCCAAATCTCGGGGTCCCCCCAACAGGCAAGCAAGAAGGTTTTGGAGGGGCTGAAGGACAACACAGCCTTTGGGAGAACAGCCCCTCTGGGTAGGACAGGGCAGGACATCACCACTTCTGCCAGTGTGGGTGCCAGCAAGGACTTTGTAAAAAGCCAGGCCAAGAATATTGGTGGCTCAAAACTGGATTTGCAGCATATAAAGTATTCAGGAAAATGAAAGGGAGGGAGGGAGGGAGGGAGGAAGGAAGGGAGGGAGGAAGTCCTATTTACCTTACAAGAATGGACATGCACTGCACATAAAGCCTGAGTGTTAACAATGCAATGGCAAATTATTTCAGTAACAACAATAATAGTAATTCAAACCTCTGTGCTTATGAGCACAGAGATGCACAGAAAGCTAACACAGCAGCATGTCAAACTATTCCCAGCCAACAAAAACTGGAACCTCCACCTGCGCTGTGAACCAGTCAGAGAACCAGTGGTTTTCATCCAAGGAGGTGCTGCTGCAGACACAGCTCGTCCCAGAATCACAGAGGGAGTTGGAAGGGACCCCCAAGGATCACTGAGTCCAGCTCCTGAGGGACTGATACAGCTGAGGCTGCAAGAAGATGTGAGGTGGACTTTGCATGTCTGGAGTGTCCTTTTTGCTGGACACAAACCTGCTGTGATTTTTCCACCTTCAAGCAGCAACAGTTCAGCATTCTCTACAGCAATCCATCTGACACACCAGGCTGAGCAAGAGGAAACATCAACAAGCCCTAACACAGATGTGCAGAAAGTAACACTTATATAACAAGGAGGGGTTTATCCCGCAGTGAAAAAGCAAAACAGTTTGCTTTTCACGACCAGTAATGTCCTGCTTTGTTTTGGAGCTCCATCCCAGAGCTGACTTCAGCAGAGGCCAGCTCAGGAGGCCCTGCCCGAAGGCCAGTCCCAGCAGAGCTCCCCGGGAGGGCTGGCCTGAGCACAGGCACCGCTCCGCCCGTGGAAACCTCCCGTGGGTCGGCTTTGTTTCTGCTCCGCCGTCCCGCAGGGAGAGCTGCATTCTGACAAACACGACGATAGCTGGAAACAGACTGCTTCAAAGGGCTTTGCAAACAGAACTCAATCCTGGCATCACCGGGAGACGCTGAGAGCGCTGTTTGTACAGATGGGGGACGGCGGGCAAGGGGGGGGTCAGGCTGCTGCCTCCCCTCCGCGGGGCCGGCACTCGGGGCTCACATCCCTCGTCAGGGACGGGACACCCGGGGAGCACCGATCCAAGTGCCGAGGAGCAGAAGGTGCAGCAGCAGGGGCTCGTCCAGCCCCGCTCCTCGCCAACGTGCCCGGGACACGCAGGCACCCAAACAACGCACGACAGCTACAGGGGGGTGCCGTGCCGGCGCTGCAGGGAAGGTGCGGTGCCCGGCCGCGCAGCCAAAGCTGTGGCTGGGCGGTGGAACCCGAGCCCCACTCGCCGGGGTCGGGCACTCGCCCAGGCGGCTCTTCTGGCAAGAGGTGAAATGCACGGCGGGCACGGGCAGCCCGCCGCGCCAGGACACTTGCGGGCCGCGGGACTCGAACCGGTCACCTGCGCGGCCAGGGGCGGCGGCGCTGCGCAGGCGCCACCGCGTGGAGCCCGGTTGCGCTCCCGGAGGCGCCTGGTGGTTCTCGGCGCCGCCCGCCCCGTCCCCTCTGCTCGCTGCGCTGCTCCAAGAGGGCAGGAAAAGCCTCATCCCTTCCAAGGGAGTGCACAGGAG